CCCCCCCCCCCCTTGTATAAGCCCATCAAAAATCGCTTACGAAAGTTCGCATTGCTTTCAGTTTTTTTCGCATGCATGCAGTAATTTCATGTTTAAAGATCTTTTAAAGCGGAAATAAAATATACTTTCTGAAATACTATAGCCTAATAATATGGTGTGTTCTCATTTAAAATTGCTCTTTATATGCCTGTCCATGATGTATATAAGCCCAGGGCTTATAGTCGGAGGTTTATGACACCGGATGCCAAGTTTATTGACATCACCTGTAACAAACACCCATGCATGACATAGTCAATCCCAATGCTACCTCGAGTCATGCAGTAAGGTAATCTCATATTCATCCAGTGTTAATATAATGCAGCCTACAGGAAAAACTAAACTAATTTTATTTATACTGGATAAACTCCATTAAGTCCAATTCAAAAATTTAAAAACTATCTAACTTTGAATTAAGAACTCAGGGTTTACAGGACAACTACAGATCATTTGAAGGCAGTGGAACTACGGTAAGTGTCCTAAAAAGCGCTTTTATACTTGTAAACAACGTTCTAACCCAAACTAGAGTAGAATAGTATACAATCACAGAATCACTATATTCACAACCTAGTTTCAGCTCCCATTTTATTAATTGATACAAAGTTTGGATACTTACAGACCAGAACATTTATACAATATAAAATACGGAAAATACGCCAACGCAACACAATTTCCAAAGTGAAACAAAGTCATTTTTAAAAAATTTTCACTATAAAACACCACAAGTCTGTAATACAACACGAGATTTGAAAAATCACAATAGATTGTTCTTTAGACTTTGTGGAGCATCCGCTGAACGTTTGACAGGCCGTTTTTAAAGTTGGCTATTCCCAAATATCCATAGATTTCCTATAAATACCTACAAGTTCCCCAGTGCCAGTGTTCATGGCACAGAAGAGAAATAGGGTTTTTGTTTACAAACAATATGGCTTTAATAATGAATACATTTATCTGTGATTTATATTTATTGATGTATTTCTGTAATGATCGATATACTATGAAAGGATGAATCTTTCCTTTGCAGGTTGTGGTTTTCACGGCATATATCATTTCGGTGTGATATCGTGCCTACAACGTCATGGTAAAAATATTATGAAAGATATACGCGGCTATGGCGGTGCTTCTGCTGGTTCCCTAGTAGCCGCATTGCTGGCAACATCTACACCTCTTGAACATGACCTTCAATTTTCCACGGAACTGGCTACCAAGGTCCGCAGGTATTTTTTGGGTGCATTGAATCCATCATTTAACCTGATGCAACATCTTGATGATGGCTTGCAGAGATTCCTACCACAGGACGCACACAAACGTGCTAATGGGAAGCTATACGTTTCCGTTTCAAGATTTCCTCAGTGTGAAAATTCTATTGTGTCGCAATTTGCGTCGCGGGATGACCTTATACAGGTAAATATGACAGTTCCAGGCCAATCTACTGTATTGGGTGCAGTGGTGGAAGCTAGCCATCGCAACTAGTCATGCTATGCTATCCAAATAGGGTGAAGACAGTACATTTCTAAAGGTTTGAATAATGCAAAACATTAAAAATGTGCATAGCATGACCTGTTGCTATGACTACCTACACGGCTGATTGAGTGGCTAAGTGCATGTATTCTGTGTGGAACCAGGACACATTCAACAGCTAGTATATTATATTCATAAGTATGTTTATTGGTATTCATAAGTATATATATATATATATATATATATATATATATATATATATATATATATATATATATATATATATATATATATATATATATATATATATATATATATATATATATATATATATATATATATATATATATAGAGAGAGAGAGAGAGAGAGAGAGAGAGAGATATATATATAGAGAGATATAGATATAGATATAGATATAGATAGATATAGATATAGTCATTCACCGTATATGAGCTGTTCTGCAATCTGATTGGTTGAATTACTCGCCGTATATCAGCTCATATACGGCAAGTAGTGAAAAAGTAGTGAAAAACAAGATGGCTGCCGAAAAACTACATGAGTTTTGCGAAGCAGGAAAAAGGAAAATATTCACTTTGAGAAAGATAATAATACAAGGAAAAACTCATTTAATTTTCAAAAAACAGCAATTGAAGAATTACTAGATGCGAACCAAAAATAATTACTGCAACTTTCCATGTTTATCATGTTGCACCCTTCACACCTTGTCACCCCCATGTCTTGTCACCCCACTGCCCTATAACAGCCCTCCTTGTTATCGTTTCACTTCCACACCACTGAATAAACCTATTATGTGTGTTAAATAAATATACAGTGATCAAAACACTGTGTTAATAAACCTGTTATGGAATATATACAGGGTTCGTACGGGTCCTGGAAAACCTGGAAAGTCATGGAATTTCAATATTCCAAAATCCAGGCCTTGAAATCCTGGAAAATCATACATAACATTAACGAAGTATTTTACTTATTTCAATTTACCAGTCATAACAATAATATGAATTGTTGTTATATAACGGATTTTTGCAAGAGCGAAGTGAATTTTGTTCTTTTATTATATCTGTTATCATTAGAATATTAACGAATTTCAGAAATTCCAGACTTCCAGGTCATGGATTTTGAAAAAATGGTCTTGGGAAGTCATTGAAAAGTCATGTAATTTTAAATGGGAGAAAGTGTACGAACCCTGTATATAGCTATTTTGTATTCTCTAACTATTCTTATTTTATTTCACAGGTTTTATTGGCTAGTTGCTACATTCCAATTTATGGTGGGACTAAAGTCCCAATATATAAGGGAGAGGTATGTACAGTACTATGTCATTGTATGTTATAGGAGTTTAGATAAATTGAATCAATATTAATTAGTGTGAGGTGGTAGAAATTACAGTATAATTGTATGTTTTAGGTTTTTTATAACCTTGTGGTAGTTGCTGATAGATGGGAAGATGCATTATGTGATGTTTGATACAAATTTAACCCATTGAGTATCAGCACTCTCCCCTTGACAAGTAAAATTGTCTGGCACAGAGTAAAATAATAAAATAGGGTACATTGGGGTGCAATGCAACTTAATGGTTAACTTGACACATGGCAGATATAGCCAGATTAACTAGACACATCCAGGCAGATAGCCTGATTAACCCATTCAGTGCCAGCACTCTGCTCTTGATGAGTAAAATCGTCTGGCATTAGACAGAATAAATTAATAAAATAATAAATAGGACGCATTGTGGCGCGCAACGCAACTTATTAATGGTTTAATTTAAAACCAATTTGGCAATTTCACAAGTATTCATCAAGTTTTCATTGCTTTGTGCTAACAAAAATGCATCTTTGCAAGATGTTAATGTATATTTATAATGTTTATTACTTAATTAATGGTTTCATAATTCACATCAAATGCTGTCAGGAATAGTGTAATGAAGTGTAATGAAGAATACACAGTACACAACTTCTGCAGAGCTTCGCTAGTATATTGCTTTTGGGCAAAATAGCAATCGGGGATACTGTACTCGGAAAACGTCAATTTATTTTTCACATTTTAGAGTCTTAATTGGCTATGGCTATACAGGACCTACTGTACAACAATTAAGACTAATTAAGATCATTATTAGTGAGCTTAAGCAAGCGACGTTTTAGTCAACACGAACGTCACCTGAAAATTGCTGTAACAAATTTTACGGCATTTTGCATCATAGCGCTCATGTAATAAAGCAAAAAACTTTAAAAGTCTTATGTTTTCTCATATCGGTTGAAGATTATCAGTTACCACAGACTGACACAAACACAGGTCCCCGGTCTACAGTCCCCCTCGGAAATCTGATCGCCGTCCGTGTTGACAAAACACATGTGACGGTGCCGGGGGGGGGGGGTCCAAATCTACTGGGGGGTCCAAATCCGCTGAGACACCGGACGAATTTGGAACCGGGCTAAGGGAACTGATAGTGGGCCTGCAACCATCGCCCGGTATTTTGTAATACGCCCCTTTTCATAACACGCCCCATTCGCGCGTCAATTGTCAAAGAAGAACCAATGACAGCATCCAAATATTAACAAACAAACTCGCATTAAAATGTTGCGGGGTTTTCTCTGCTTATTCAGAACACTAATAAACAATGTGTAAATGGCTGCGTTTTAACTCCAAAAAAGCAAGCAACGCAGTCAGTAATTGCCAAATTTGCAAGTGCTCATTTTCAACTAAAGTCGGAACAGGCAAATTAGGACGAATTTCAACAGAAAACCAGTCTCAAACTTCAAATCATGAGGGAAGTCGTGCGACCACATTAGGATTTATATTATGTGTGCTTCGCTGTCGCCATTAGCATTGTTATAAATAAATTGTCTCACTTATCAGATCGTGTGTGCAATTCTTGTTGGCGGCGGAAAGTACGAAATTTATTTCATTTATTTCATTTGGTAAAGAACTCTACAAAAGAAGAGAGCGTTCCGAGTCCAGATCGTTTCGTTTCAAACTGCAATTTAATACCGCCTTCTGTTTCGCTCTCTCAGCGAAGCCTTGTAAATCGCAAAGTGTTTCGAATAGGCTTACAGTCCTTACATGCAACTGCATCTCAACATCAACCAAAAGATAATTTTCTTGAGGAAGTGAGAACACATAACGTATCAACTGAAGTCTGTTTGAAATTAATGAAACTCAAGTAAAGGTTACTATAGTTTACCCCAGTCGTAATTTGCTATTCCAACACCTCACGACAAGCAATCCCCATTGGCATAACGGCAAAAACATGTCTTCCTTCAAGTAAACAATAAACAGTCTGTTCTTGTTCCATTTGTAATCGAAAAGTAATCAATTTTCAAATTTTAAGCTTATCGAGAGCCTTTGTCTATGCCTTTGTCTATGCCACTGTTCCCTTGGGCCTGCACGCTAGGTTAATTAATTACCGATCGCCTCAGCTAGCCAATGGGAATTTAGCCGGCGGTTCGGCCGGCGAAAATCGAAAACATGGGGTGATGGTTGCAGGCCCACTATCAGTTCCCTTGGGCCTACACGCAGGCTAGATGAATTTGAGAGCCCCTAACAGAACGAATTCGCGTGTAAACAGGAGGAAAAAGAACGAATTTCAGACCGGTCCCAAATTCGTCCGGTACCGTGTAAATGGGGTCTGAGCTCCCTATTATTACGACTCTTTGGTACAAGACAAGTTTTTGTACTGTACGTCTGATATTGTTGAAACGTTTATAAGTATTTTCTCTATATTAAAAAGCGCGTGAGTCATTTTTAACACTGAGCGCCTCAACATTTCTTTTAATAATCAAATAGCATTGCTAAATTAAGTACGGTTTTAATGAAATCCGCTGACCGCGTACTGTGGAAACGGATACCCGCGAAGACACCAACACTCAATAGCGACCACATTTTATAAAATTAGCAAAAACACTACGCAAAAAAGCGCCTTAAAGTTTATTATTAACTTTTCGTCCATTTTTAGGAGCTGCCTCGCTGCGTCGATTCTGGACAGACCGACTGACTAGAAACAGAATATTTTTTCTTATAGCTAATGAACAGTGCATACATGTGTAAACAGTTTTTTGACAATTCTTCACAGCTTGTGTTGCAAGTTAGTTGCACCAATTTTGTTGCACGTAATACTGTACTTTCCCATAGATGCACATACATTCACATTTACTAAATTTAAGGTTTCAGATGGAAAAAATTTCGAACTTCTATGACCTCACTGTCTTTTTGTCGAAGAAACTCATCCATCATATTTATTTTTGCCCTTCATAAAATATTTTATCCTGAAAAAAATTCTTTGATAAATAATTATTTTAACTTTAGTCGACAATTAACAATTTCTGAGGTACTTGCAGGCACGGTATTTAATTTATTTCAATAAATTGCAAAAATCGGAATTTTTTCATGTATATTTATTTATTTTAATGGTATATTTGGTACACTATATTATTAAATAACATGTATATAACGCATGCTCTGATTGGTCCAAACCCGTGTTTGGATCAGGCTATCCAAAAACGGAAATTTATAGTGAAAGTTTTTTAAAGTGGAATTTTAACACGGAAAGTTGTTATTTTATAAAACAATTACTTTATGGTTTCCGTTCAGTTTGGATGGCCTGATTTAAGCGCGCAAAATCACTCGCCTTCGGCTCGTGTTTCGCGCGCTTTTCTTAACTCTCGCAACATTCCCGCGTGTTTGGATTAGGTCATCCAAACACGGAAACCATAAAGTAACTGTATAGTGTTTAATGTAGTCTTTACAAAATCATCCCTATATCCGAGCTTACCACGTATGCGCTGCATGGTCCACTGATACTGTATCAATCCGTTGCATGGTGCATGGATACTGTATTAATCCATTTCTAATGCATTTTTTCACAGAAATTGTTTGATGGTGGATTCTCCGACAACCTACCTGTATTTGAAACAGGGAAAACAATCCGTGTTTCACCATTCTGTGGAGATTTCGATATATGCCCGGAAGATAAACACTCCTACAAGCTTTTTACTGCAGAACTTGTTAAGAACATGAATGTCGTAGTTAACTTCCAAAACATGGAACGTGGTTTTCAAGCGTTATTTCCACCGTCAAAAAATGATCTACAGAAGATTTACAAGCACGGATATAACGATGCGTTGAAATTTCTTGGTATATTTGTTTCTAAATAGTCAACAATTGTAAACTGTAAAGTAAAGTCTTCGGATAGGTCTGCACAAGCAACAACCATGTTTTATTTTCAAACAAAATTCCTATAAGGAGGTGGAAAAGTGACGTAAAACGATGCTTAATGATCCAAGCCCGTTACTAATAAAGACAAAGAACCGGAAAATAAATTAAACACGCCAAATTATTGAGGAAAATGGATTCAGGTGAAGTGAACCAATTGTATATTATACTCCTTAAAAACTCTGGATCAACCCTCTGGATCATTAATTCTCGATCACCGGTCATTAATTATAGGGGGGGGGAGGGCTGGTGCAAATGAAATATACCATGCTCATTTTTTTCTGACCCTCCCCCCAAAGTGATGCGCACTTTTGTCCGAAACCCCCCCCCCGCCAGCGTTTTTATGGTTCGTACCTTATAATTTAAATCGTCATTTTTTGGTGTAAAATAAGTAATGGACATGGACAAATATACTGGTGTAAGACATTGTGTAGCCTAAATAATTAGAGGACATGTTTTCAAAATGGTTGTTATTTAAGGCACTGTTACACTATGCAATTTGTCTCGCAATTTTGTTGCAACACAAGTTGCACATCCCTCTTGCAACTAGTCTCGCAATGTTTATACAATGAGTGGTTTCCTATTGACTTTTGACTGACAATATGGCACCAAACGTTAACACTCACATGGAACATATTGCTTGGTGTAACATCCCTTGCAATGTAATCCTGAAATCGTTTTTCTTAACATTGCAAGACAAGTTCCGAAACAAGTTGCTTAGTGTAACAGCGCCTTTACTCCGACTCCTATGGTAAACATATACGTAAATAAACTATGGAAACTACGATTTATATAGGAACTAAAAGAGGTGAAATATTTTGTGGGCTACGATAAAGACGAGAGATTGAAAATGAGTAGGAAAGGCAACCCTGAATACGTTTCAACCTAACAGTCTTCCGCAGGGTTTTTTTAAGGGGGGTGTAAGCAGAATTTGCAGAGGAGAAGGAAGGAGAGTTTAGGAGTTTGGATAATAATGTGAGGCCAAGAGAAAAACAAATTATTACGAAGTTATTGAAAATAGCCAATTACACAGCAACAAAAATGAAAGATGGAAAGATAGTGAAAACGATATAACTACATAAACTGCTACATGTATTAGTTAAGTTATCCTACCAAAGGTCTTGTTGGTGCGAGACATTCCAACATCACGTATTTTATTGTTTTGAAATAGAGCAAATGACATATATATATATATATATTAAGTATACTTTATAACTGTACGTCAGTTAGTCGATAGTGCAATCTGATATTCTGATGGCGATTTAATATAAGCTACATTTGCAATATATTTCGCTAATTTGCGATTATTTTCTAATTTTACTGCAGTTTTAATTTAAATTCAGCCGTTTAGTGGGTCGGCTATAATTGTAGTTGTGATCGTTATAAAATATATCAACAACAATAGTATAATCTAATTAGCACCAGCCAATCAAATGACAGATTTAAAAAATCGTTTGTCTAATCAGCCAATCAAACGAAAAAGCCAGAATCTGGCTCCTACTTCCTTTGGAGTCTGGGACTGCATGCAGTACTGCACGCAGGCTAGCTTTTTACATGCGCCGCGGTAAAGAATTGTATCAGGCCCTCCTTCATTCGCCGCCGCCAATTAATCCTGGCGAATGAAAACATAAGGGCCTGATACTCGGGTTACTTACTCAATAGTACAGTATAATAAAATAATAATTTATAAAGCGCTTTTTACCTATAATGATCAAAAGCGCTGTATTACAATATAACTAATGTTAAAAGCGTAATAAAATGTTGAAATGTTAACTTTAATATAACTAAATACTAAAAGCTAGTTTAAAAAGATGAGTTTTAAGACAAGTTTTAAAAACGCTTATTGACGAAATGTCACGAATTATGTCGAATTTCTTTGGGCAGTTCATTCCAAAGTTTCGGGGCTGCCACAGTGATAGATCGATCGCCAAATGACCGTAAAAAATTACCCTAGGGAACTCTAGCATTATGCTATCATTAGAGCGTAAAAGGTAGTTTCCGTCCACTTTGACAACAAGTAGATCTACCATGTACTTTGGAGCCATTCCATGTAAAGCTTTAAAAGTAAGCAATAGCAGTTTAAAATGGATCCTGAACTTCACAGGTAACCAGTGTAGTTCACGTAATATAGGTGTAATGTGATCGTATTTTCGTGTTGAAGTCACTAATCTTGCAGCGGCGTTCTGAACCCTCTGCAACTTAATCAATTCAGTATTAGGTAAACCATACAGGAGACCATTACAATAATCTAGTCGACTTGTAACAAAGGCATGTATAACAGTCAACAGATTTCCCCGAGATAAAAACTTGCTGATGCGTTTGATGTTGTGAAGCCAATAGAATGAGGCACCACTTGTCTTTGTTATATGACATGACATTGATAAATTTGAATCAAGCCAAACTCCTAGATCACGAGCTATTGGTACAGGAAGGACAACAGCATTCCCGACACGTACATGGCATGGGTTAAGTTTCTGCAGTTGTTGCTTAGATCCAATTATTAGCAATTCAGTTTTACCGTCATTTAGTTTCAATTTATCTTGAATCATCCATTTCCGAAGATCATTGACACAGCTTTCCATTACCGAGATCGCTTCACATTGATCGCATGGGTAGTCTTTAACCCATCATTTTCCATCACGAAATATCATGTCTTTTATGCATTATACAGTCTTCGGACTTATGCAAACTCACACCCCGAAAATGCAGGAAATCGCATTTCAGGGACCCCAGATTTCAAAATATTCTGGGGGGCATGCCCCCAAACCTCCCCTAAAATGGCTCACGCCTTTTTACGCTGGCCAAGCGTGGATCTGTGTTTTAATTGAATTATTTCACTACATTACACTAATAGGTCATATAATGATAATAATACTCCTATAGTCGAACATATAATAACAACATAAAGTTGATTTGTATGGCTTGTATGTTTTTCAGTTTATTTAAGATCTATTATTAGCTTATATAAAAGCACCGCCTTTCGAACCTGACAGCCCGTTCGCAGGATACGCGTGTGGGAGACGCGCGGGATTTGGTGCTTTTATATAAGCTAATAATAGATCTTAAATAAACCGAAAAACATACAAGCCATACAAATACAAATCAACTTTATGTTGTTATTATATGTTCGACTATAGGAGTATTATTATCATTATATGACATATTAGTGTGGAATACCCCAAGGATCAGTACTCTCACCATTCCTATTCAATATTTATACTGACAGTCTACCCTCAATCCCTGAATTCTGTAACCTCGAATCCTATGTGGACGACTCCAAAGAGTATCTTTCCTTTTCACTACCGATCTTGGACTATTCTTTATCGACTCTAGAGCAAGACTTGCATAGAGTGTTCGAATGGTGTTGTAAAAACAGTTTATTAATAAACCCAGAGAAAACCAAAATGATGGTAATTGGATCGCATAAACTAATTCAACAATTGAAACATACCCCTAGTGTCGATTTTATTGGGAAAACCCTTGAACCAGCTTCGCAAGTCAAAGACCTAGGGACTATACTCGACTCTAATTTAAAGTACAATGAACACATAAAGCGCTTATCATCTTCATGCATGTATTGGCAAACTTTGCCAGATCAACCGGGTAAAGAACCTACTTAACCAATCAACATTGACTTCCATCATAAATGCATTAATTATGAGTAAAATTTATTATTGCTCATCCATATGGAGTAATACATCCGAAGAGAACATCAAGAAAATTCAGCTAATTCACTGAACTACGCAGCTAGGATTATCGCAGGAAATGTTGGTAAATATGACCATGTATCTCCCGTATTGAAGGAACTCGGCTGGTTACCGATCAAAGAGCACTTACAATATAGAGATGTGTTCTCGTTCATAAATGCATGCACAATCAAGCACCCTCATACTTACGTCAGATGTTCACAAAGAGAAATCAAATCCATGACCGCGAAACGTAGCCTGCTCACAGACGTTGTAGTTCTTACGCCAAGCGACGAAATACTACCGTCTGCTTACCCGAGCTGCATATTCAATTCCCTTTGTTTTAGCCGAGCCAATCATCTGGCAGTGTTCAAAAACATTAGAGCCAATTGGAAGCCGCCTTATATATTGAGAGATTAGCTAAGTACTGGGAAAAGCCCGTGCACATGCATTCATTGCATTGGAATATATTGTTTGGGTTGAAACTTGAAATTTGTTTACTTGCGTGGATATATTTTGGAAACTATAGCGTTGAACTTAACGATGTTAACGTAGAATAATATTGTTATCATCTTCTCGCATGTTCAACAAACAATCGGTGTATATAAAGTGCTAAAGCAATGCAGTAGGCGAAATTTAAATTTTTGTTTATAACAATGACAAACAATCGGGAACTAGGATATGTCCAAATGTTGCTCTTGATACTTCCTATATGCCATGACTTCGACGAAAACTTCTAAAAGATTAAGCTCTCATTGTCATGTAGAAAAGTATAGCCAAGTTAGAGTATATTAAACGTTTCGAAGTTTGGGCGAATTGGAAAATTCATCACGGCGCAATTTTAATACAAGTTTCTCGGGTTTGTGTTGTGTTTACAGTTTACATCCAGAAGTGGTTGCTTAGACAGCAAATTAGTTTACTTTGAAGCTAATATTTCTCTTTCTAAGCCACAGTATTATATAAAATTTTCTGTCTTCCGAGTTCTGTTGTCTTATAAAGATAAACCGTTCAAATTTCAGCGAAATATATTCGGCATTTGATGCCGTCTGGCTATAAAGATTCATACAGTATAAATATGCCAATCCTGTCCGCGTTTTAAATATATTAAACCGAACATCTTTAATATCCAAATCTGATCATTAATGGTGCATTTTATTACCTGGACAAGTATCAGTATCTTTAAATTCAATTTATGTGCAATTTTGACCAAAATTCAACCGACGACTGCTTTCAAAATATATATTTATGTTTATTCCGCTCCTAAATCAACTGACGTCACTTTCCAGAATTTGGAAGGTAAATTCTGATTGGTCGACGTAGCGGAATTCAGTTTGGCGCTCGGGTAAGCAGACGGTATAGTATTTCGTCGCTTGGCGTAAGAACTACAACGTCTGTGAGCAGGCTAAAGTGTCTGATGATTTTTTGGACGACTTGTTGAACAATTCTGTACTAAAAAATCCCGGAAAAAGCAACAAAAATATGGAATGGCAATTTTTAAGGGTAAGAAAATAGACAAAATAACATACACTCAATGAAATTTTAAAATTAAAACTGAATTTTGTAAAACATTTTACGCGAACAAAAACTAAAATTATCAATGGTTTTATAATGTTTTTTGTATATTTTTGTATTGTGTTTGCAGCCTAGTTGTAAATTAATGTTAAAGTTTATACTAAAACAATTAGACAACTCGGCCTCGTTGTCTATGAGCAAATAGTCAACTCGGCTTCGCCTCGTTGACTATTCGCTCATAGACAACTCGGCCAACCTCGTCCCCAGGGTCTTCCTCGTGGTGGCGCGTGAGCTGAGGAAGACCCTGGTAAAATGCGATGAAATCTCCAAGATTCTTGGAGATTTATCGCATGCGCAGTAACGACAACGTTATGTTGCTGACTACAATTAGCGCTGGCGCTTACGATTTTTTTGCTTAAAAATATACATGTTTTGTTGAGTGTTTTAGACCAGGCGGAGAAGGGGGGAATAGTCCCCCGACGGGGAAATTTATGAAACCAAGTGAACTTGGTCAATTTTGGGGTGCTGAATTCGAAAATCGTTGGTATACAGGCCGTGGACGTGGCCTTCAGCCTCGTTTTCGCGTTTAAAGCCTCGTTTTGATGCGAAAACGTTATCCGCTCGATTGAAGCGAAAACAATGAATAATTTGTTTAATATACGCACTTTTAGGTATTTTTAGGTGCAGAATTCGAAAATTGATTGCATTGGGACGATAAACTGGGCCATCTGCCTCGTTTCCGAGATTTATAGCCGCGTTTTTACGCTTTGAAACCATGTTTTCCAATTTTAGTTACTAATATATTTAAATTACACTTTATGCACGCATGTTACCAGTACAAGGCAATGTGTCATACTTTAATGCGTAAAACAGGCCATTTTGTGTACAAACATGAAATTTTTTAGCCCCGTACCGAGCTGACGTTTGGGCATATTTAATTTTAAAATTAGTACGTTCTCGTCGATCTCTCGCAATGTTGCAAAATATCCCAAATTCGCGATTTCTCTGTTTTAATTGATTAGTTCGAATAAAAAAGCATTTCGATGCGGACAATTTATCTATTTTTCTAGATCTTAAGTGCTATAAGGTTTTTAACGATCGGTAAACGTAAATATCCGCGCGAAAATGCTTGGTCTGAGCGATTGAACAAAATAATTATTGGCGGAAGTTGTCGATTTCACGCTGTAAACAACATTAAAAACATAACAGAATTCGAAGTGTTATTGTTTCACAGTTCATCGAATTAGCAATCAAGAGTCGTTTGAATAGGTTTTAGAGACGATATAGGAAGAAATGGCCGATTGTGTTGTTCACTATGACTCACTGGACACATCTAGTGATAAACTGATTCGACCAAGTGCAAATACATTTGAAACTTTGCTCGAGTGTAAGAAAATACGAGAGAGTCTGGGCAGTGAAAATCATCACATTGATCAATGCAATAAAATTCCAGAGAATTTGGGAGAAATTGAGTACTTCTACCATCGAAAATGTTTTCAAAAGTTTCATTGTATATGCCAAAACGTTATTGAAACGGAAAACAAGCCAAGACGGCTGTCAAGGTTCCAATAGCAAGCTTCAAAAATCAACAAGAAAAAATCACAAAGACAAAGTGATGAAGCTACTGGCTTTAGAGGACTGTTCCCGAATATATGTATGATTTGTAAGAAGAAGGAGTTAAGCGTTAAAAGTGTACGCCAGTCACTATCTAGGATTGTCACCGATACTGCAGAAAGAACACTAAAAGAAGCTGCAATTGCTCACAATGATTTAGAAATGATGACAGCCGTCACCGAAACTGATTTGAAAGCAAAAGAATTTCAAAAACACGAAAAATGCTATCTTGACTATACTAGAGTCGTCAGGAAAACAGCTGAATCAACCGAAGGTGGAAATGATGACAAACAATCAGGGGATTACAACGCAGTACTTTCTTTGGTAGACAGTGATATTATAGGCGGTCAGCAATGTTTGTCAATGGAAACACTAATGACAAGATATTGTGGTAATATTGGAACAAAGCAAAGCAGACACAAGCTGAAGGAACGCCTTACGAAGTCATTTAGCGATCAAATAGTTTTTCTTCAAGCAGAATATCATATTTCGCAAGTGGTGATAAGTAAAGAATGCTTGCAAAATCAGATGATTTCGGGACGTTCTACACGTATTCAACAATCCGCCTTAAAAAGGGCAGCATCGTTTCTGCAAGAGTCTGTCTTAAGTTTTTTAGAAAAGGCTGACCCACTTCCATGGCCACCGAAATGTTGAAAGTTTGGTTTCAAGAGAGAGACAATACCCAGAGCTTCTGCAATTGTTTTTCATGGAACTTTTGTCTTTTAAAGGAAGTCATCACGTCACTGCCGAAAGAGTAGATCGACTGACTGACTCGTTTTGTCAAGATATCATTCACGCTGTTTCAAAGGGGAAATTCCTTACGCCAAAACACGCATCACTAGGTCTTGGCCTTCATAGTATGACTGGTCAAAAACTACCGATAACTATACTGGCAAGATTAGGACATTGTATTACATACGACGCAATCAACGAAATCGAGACTGCTCAGGCTGAGCTGGTAGAGCACTTTCAATCCATGGGTCTGAACTTACCTCTTCAACCAGCAGCAATTGGTTCCAAAGTAAGTATATCAGTTTATGATCATTGAAACTAAACTCGCAATCTGACAGTGAAAAAAAAAGCAGACAACGATGATGACGCGGGCTAAGCTTTAGAACTATGTAAGTGAGTTACGAACTTCGCCGTAAATTGTTTATATTTTTATACCATAGTCTATTTGTATTTCATCACAACATTTGTATACGATCAATTTAGATTGGAATTGAAATTTTTTACTAAATTCACAATAAGAAAGTCTCAGTAAGGTAATTGTCGCTTAGAAATAATCAACAAAATTAAGTTGTCGCATTTTCCCCTTAAGGTATCAACGATATTCTGGTGGGATAACTTTGATCGCAATGTTGAAACTGCGTCAGGCGCTGGTTCTATCCATAATACACCAGGAATAGCGTTTCAAGAACACTCTGACGCAGCTGTGATGAGACAAGACGATATAAGCATTCCCAGGTCAAAGCGACGATCGATTCAACTCCCCAAAGAGACGGTTGATAAGCGAGTGGCAGTCAACCCAAAAGCAGAACCACCATCGCTTGCTAAAATACAGAGCAGACCAGCTCCTACTAGTGCACAAATGTATTGTTCGAAACTGTTGCAGATATGGAAATCAGTGCGATACCTGAACTCGGCTAATCAGACAAACCCCCGGTTCGTAGGTTGGATCGTACGTCGTTTTCAGCAGGCTCATAGCAAGGCAACACTGATGACATACCTGCCTCCTATTTCTTCTCCAATAACTGAATACTCCACCATCATAGAAATGTTCCATCAATCTAGGCAGCTGGCGAAGCTATCCAACATGTCCTACACTCACATCACCCTCGATGCGGGAGCTGCAATCAAGGCCTTTCATGTGGTTTGGAACAATCCAGCTGCGTGGTCCGACATAATAATCCATCTGGGAGATTTTCATGCAATGATGACCTTTTTTGCAGTTATTGGACGTTTCGTGGAGAGCAGTGGATTCGAAGATGTGTTATTTCAAGCTGGTCTGTGTAGCTCTGGAAGTATTACGAGAGTGATGAGTGGAAAGCACTACAATCGATGTTGGCTTGCTCACGAGGCTTTTTCTGAAGCATTACAAAGACTTTTTGTAGAACAATATCTACCGACCATGCCAAAAAAAGTCGAGGAGTGCGCACAAAGTAACCTCGCGCAAGCAACGAGTTTAACCAACATTCTTAACGATGA